TATAGCTCGTATTTATGATCAACCAAATCATCCCCTAAGCAATACACGCGCCTGAGATGGTTCCTGGAGCCGGGAGCGTTTGCATGGACTTGGCTGCCAAGGGCTGGATTTCACCCCCCCCTTCAAAGCCCACCCCTTGTCCCCCCCTCCCTGTGCCGTGCCTCGGTTTCCCCACCTGCCCAGTGCGGGGACATTCCTGACCTCCTGCTTGATGCACTTTGAGCCGATCCCCCCCTTGGGAAGTGCCGGAGCGACCCCAGGCCGGGGAGCCCCGAGCCCCCCGAGCCCCCCCAGCCTGTATGTAGCACCCACCTGGGCACCGGACTGGTTCGGATTTGGGGCCGTTTCTCATTCTTTGGGTTTTTTTTTTTGGGGGGGGGGGGGTTGGGGTGGGTTGGTTTGGGTTTTTTTTCCCGTTCTTCCTGGTTGGTTGTTTCCGATCTGAAATAAAACTGGGATTTCTGAAGCGCTCTGGGCTGTGGGGGCTCCTGGCGACACGGCACGGGTGGGAAATGGGGCAGGGTGGGAGTGGAAGGCTGTGGGAGCACCCATGGGTGCTGCTGGGTGGGGATGAGTCCTCCTGGGAAGGGAGGGGGCAGTGGGTGGGGGATCTGTGGCCTCCCTGGCATCCCAAAGGGGCTGGAGCCTTCCCAAACCAGGGGCAGCCAGGACCTGGCTCCTTCCTGACAGCTCCCATGTCCCTCATCCCACTCCAGCTGTGGATCCTGTCGGGGGTCCTGCCTTTTCCCAGTGGATCTGGGTGGTTTTGTCTCTGATATTTTATGTTGGGTTCGATGAATGTTTCAAACTCATTTGCCTTGACAAGGAGGACAAGCTGAGGCCCCTTCCCAAAAACACTCACCCAACCTCACAGTAATTCCAGGGGGAAGCAGGATCTGTCTGGGGGGGCTCAGAGAGGCTCTGTGGGGTCACCAGAGCTGGGGATTCTGCCCCAAGGCCGGCAGGGAGGGAACACCCCGTCACTCCTGATTTCCACCACGGAGGGGCCCGTGGGAGAATCGGGCAGAGCTGCTGCCCCTTCCTCCCGTGGGAACGGGGCTGGAGGAGCCCATCCCGAGCCATCCTCGTCCCCGATTGATCTCATGGGGAAAACACCTTTCCCCACCCTGCAGCACTGTGGGAGGACCCCCCGTTTTTGGGATGCCGGGAGGAATCGGCGGCGTTTTCCTTGATTTGGGTGGGGGGTGGTTTTTCGGATTTTTTTTTTTTGATCTTATATAATTTATCAAACAAATTGAAGCCAACGTCCAAATGAGAAATGGAAATGGGAAGTGCTCCCCGGCAATGAAATCATTCCGGCTGCCTCGCAAAGTGAGGGAGGCTCCATGTCCGTAATGAAATTTCATCCATCTCCCCGCAGAAAGTTTGGATTTTTTATGAACTGGCATTTCCAAAGGAGCCTCGTGGCCTCAGAGACATATGTGTGTGTATATATATATATATTTTTAACCAGGTCTATTATAGACACTGTGAACAAACATAAGGGAAGCAAAAAAGGAAACGAGGACAATTTAATTTGCCAGAAAATACAATGACATAAAAGAAACAAATTAGATGAAAGGAACGAGGCGATTTCTCCCCCTCCTTCCCCCCCCCCCCCAACCCCCCAGCTCAGCCTTTCAAAGCTGCCCAATTAATTTTAACGGGAATTGGGAGAACGGATTTCTTGAGGCAGGTTTGGGGATTGGCAGATCCGACTCCGGAGCAGGTGGGAATGCAGGAGGGTCCCGGCCCTGCTCCCGCTCTGCCGCAGCGGGACGGATCACGCGGCTGCTCCGGGATAATTCAATTTAGGGAGCGTCGGGAAAGGGAAAAAAAAAAAAAAAAAAAACAACAACAAAGAAAAGGGGAATGTGCCGGGAGGTGGAGCTGCCGCGGGCGAGGGGAGGTGGGAGGGAGCAGGACCTGTGCAGGGTCCCCGGGCACGGGCATTGCCGGAGCAAAAGTGGCAGCAAACCAGCAGGAGTTGCAGGGTGTGATTCCGTAGCGCTGGGAAGCGTTTGGAACGCCAAGGGAAGAAGTTGGCAGTGGTTGTTTCTCCCTCTGGTGCTGCAAGGAGTGTGTGAAGGGCTCAGCTCTGCCCCTGCCTTGGTCCCATCTCCCCATCCCTGTCTCTGTCCCATCCTCATCCCTGTCCCCATCTCCATCCCCAGTCCCACTCCCATCCTTATTTCCATTCCCCTCTCTGTCCCTTTCCCATCTCCCTATCCCGAGACACATCCTCATCCCTATCTCCATCTCCATCACTATTCCTACCCCCATCCCTGTCCCATCCTCATCCCTGACTGCTCTCCATCCCTATTCCCATGCTTATTTCCATCCCTCTCCCCTCCCCAATCCCCATCCCTGACCCTACCTCTATCCCGATTCCCATTCTCATCCCTAGTCCCATCTCCATCCCTGCCCCTGTCCCCATTCCCACTCCCATTCCCGTCCCTGTGCCCCCTCTCCCAGGAGGAGCTGCCAGAGGACACGGGCAGAGCCCAGCGGGGCTGTGCTTGGCCAGGGCCCAGCAGGGCCTCATTTCCCTAAAAGCTTCCCGATAAATTACTCCGGCTCTTGCTCCAGCAAAGGCACTTTGGCTCACGCTCCACCATCGGGCAGCAGCTCCTCACCCCCACGCCGGGGACGTGAGTCCATCCCTGCAGCATCCCTAGGGATCCAGTACCAGCCATCCCCCGGGAGCCCCGTCCTGCTCCTGTCCTCCTCCCACAGCGTTTTTCCATGGATGAGCCCACGGGGCCCGTGTCCCATCCCTGTGGTGATCCATGGCATCGTTACACCTCCTGACACGGCTGTAACACCCCCATAAACCTGTGATTTACGGCCCCCTCCGAGCCCCCGGGAGTTACACGGCTCTGTGGATCCATGGCATCCTGCAGGGAATGCTCAGTTCTGTGGATCCATGGCATCCTGCAGGGAATGCTCAGTTCTGTGGATCCATGGCATCCTGCAGGGAATGCTCAGCTCTGTGGATCCATGACATCCTGCAGGGAATGCTCAGTTCTGTGGATCCATGGCATCCTGCAGGGAATGCTCAGCTCTGTGGATCCATGGCATCCTGCAGGGATAAGGCCCATGTGCCACAGATCACACGAGCTTTTGTGGGAAAACCCCCATTTTAATTAACCCCCGTGACCAGCCCCTCTCATTCCCCAGACAGGCTGGAGCTCAGCAGGGAACGCTCCCGCTCTTGTCTTTCGGGTTTTATAGGGAATTTCGGCTCCAGGAGTAGCTCATCCCTTCGGGAGCGAGGCAGAGTGTGGAGAGGCTGTGGCTGTTGTGTTTTACACTGGAATTTTCATTTCCAGTCAGGCTCCACAGCTCACCCGGGGAGCTGCCGGGAGCTCCGGCCTCTCCACCAGAGATGTGTCTCTCTACCAAATCCAAGCTGGATCTGGGGAGCAGTTTTGGAGTCGTGAAATTTGGGAGCATTGGGTAAAGCAGCACCTCCTGGGTCAGCTGGGAAACCCACCAGGACTGGAGCACACAGAGCAGGGATGGGCCTGGGGGGCTGATGGAAGCACAGCTCCAAACCCAGGTGAGGAACAGGGAAGGATCTGGATGGTTGATTGGGAAACAAAAAAATCTGAGAGAGACAGGACTGAGAGTTCCTTGATCCATCAGTGCCAGTGGCCTCTCTGGGTGTCTGTGTGCCTGTCCCAGCTCCTGCTGCCACCGGCGGAGAAGCCACTGTCCACTCCAGTGAGCAGGGCTTGAGGGGGACAGGTTGAGCCCCCCAGCATTCCCCAGCTCCTCGGGGTTCTCCCCTGAGCCAGGCTGGGGGTGCAGGGATGCCCTTCCACGCTTGGAGAGAGCAGGCACAGCTCATGCTCCCGCTGCGGAGCACACCGGCATCCCACAGCCCCTGGGGCTCCTCTGGGGCCTCTGCACTGGAGGTGGGGGCCCAGTGCTCCAAGGGACCCTGATTCACCCCAAATTCACTCCCAAAGGGATGCCTGTTACCCCACTGCACAGGCAAGTGAGGATGGGGCACAGGGCTGATCCCGCATCCTCGGAGCCAAGCCCTGTGCTCCCGCTCTCCAGCGAGCCCAGGGCTCCTGCCGGGAAGGATAAAAACACCTCTAGTTTGGCTCAGAGCTCATCCAGGCTCCGGCCAAGGCTGTTTCCAGGCTGCTGTCACATCCAGTCCCTGCTCCTGTCAGAGCTGGGGCGCAGGGGCTGACGCTCCCGTGACAATCTGCCATCACGTCCCGAGGCGGGAGCTCTCCCTGTGCCGGTGGCAGCGCGATCCGGGCGGGATTTGGCCACGGGCAGTTGGCTGCTGCCCCTGCTCTTCATGAATCTGGACCCACCACCTCCCAGCCCAGCCAAACCTGGAATGCACTGGCAGCGGGCACAGCCCTCCTGGACAGCCCTGCTGCATCCCGGGATGCTGCTGGACAGGATCCCCCCTCACCCAGGGAAGATGGAGCACCCACTTCCCTTGCTGAGAAAGCCAAGGGCCTCCCTCATCCCTGCCTTTCTGGTGAGGAGAGATAAGTCTGTGAAACTCTCCCTGTGGAGAAACCTTGGGATATTTTTCCTCCCTGCCCCTCGTCTCCAGTGCAGCGGGAGCAGGAGCTCCCCAGGCCCTTCACTAAGAGCTCCTGGACACAGGCAGGTTCACACCCAGAATTTATCAGGAACAAACATAAGTCATAAACACCTGAGGAGATTAAACATCAGTTCCAAAAGCCTGGCTGCAGCTCCCTTCTCCAGCCTGGATCACGAAGCCCAGCATGGAGCTGCACTGAGAGCAGGCAGTGCAGACAGCAGCGCTCCGAGGGGACCAACTCTGCCCTGGGAAACAGGGAATGTCAGCTCCAGGTGACAGCAGACAGCCCCTGAGCAGGGCTGGAGCTCTGCTGAGCACAGATCCACTTTCCAGAGGCAGGGGGACAACCTGGGAGCAGCTGAGCCCAGGGGAGGCTGCTGGGAGAGCAGGGACACAACACACACCACAGGCTGCGAGGGAGGGGGGAGGGATTTATTGATAGAAAAGTGCAGATAAATGATTCCATAATTCCATGCCTTTCCCAGGGCAGAGGCAGGACTGCACCCCCATCAGCCCCACTGCAGGGTGGGGGGCACTGGCCACCCCCCGGGTGGGGGGGCCTGCAGGGACGGGGGCAGCTCCTGCACTGGGGGCCAGCCCGGCGGGTACTGGAACGGTGCCGGTTTCTCGGGAAGAGCACTGTGAGGGGGACATGGAAAGGAAAGGGATGGGGTGAGCTGGGCTGTCTCAGCTGGGCAGCAAGGCCACGCTCAGGCTGGGCTTCCCTGTGCCCCCTCCAGTACAGGAGAGGTTTGGTTATCACCAGGTGGGGATAATTCCACCCCCCCATCCCAAATCCATCCCCAGCCCATCCGAGCAGCCAGTGCTCCCTGAAGCATTGCCTGCCAGCGGGAACTCAGGTGGGAGCACTGAGGGGGGTCAGCAGGCACAGCCCCCCAGGACACAGCCCCTCCGCTCCCCACCCCTCCCACAGCTGAGCTGGGAGAACAACAAACAGGATCAGCAGATGTTTCTCCCCAAGCAGCCCAAATCCCAGCTGTGCACTTCCCAAAGGACAAGGGCCCCTCGGAAACGGAGGAGCTGCCAAACCAACGGGGTGTTTTCACCCAAGGACCCTTCAGCAGAGGGAACAGGCCTTCTCCTCCTCCTCCCCTTAGCCTGGGAATCACTTTGTCCCTGCCTCTCTCCCTCAGGTTTACTGGTTGAGGCCCCTGCAAACACCACACTGGGCTGAAGTGCAAGAGCAAGAAGCATCACTTTGTCTCTAGCTTGACCTGGGCAGGTTTCAATTCATGGGAAACTGCACCTTTTCCATTAATTCCTGAGTGCAGGAAGCTCATCTGTTCTCTCCCCCAAGCCCTGACAGCAGCCTTGCGGCTTCTCAGGCCTCTACCTCGGATCCTGATGAATCTTTTTAATTGTTATGCCAGGAGAAACCTAATCAAAGTGTTTTACATAACCCCAGGGAGCAGCAGCACCCTCCCCTCTCCTCCCCTCCCCACGGGGCCGCTGCCGTGGCCCAGAGCCAGCTCCAGGAGCAGAGCGTGTTCCAGCCAACCAACACAGGGCAAAGTCACCTGGCTTAGGGTTTATCCCCGGGATGGGGATTGTCCAGAGAATGCCCAGGATGAGACAGGACTGAGGACAGGCAGCAGCCCCTCGGGGAAGGGGTGTTTGGTGTCACAGCCCAGCACTGTGGCTCGGGAAGAGGGAATGCTGCAGGGTGGAACAGCACAGCCATCACCTCCCGAGCTGCTCCGTGAGCAGCAGGACTAATCAATAGGGAAGATGCCGCCTGGGTACTCAATTCCCTGGGGTCTCCTAAGCTACAAGTGCTATCAAAGGTTTGCCTACAGCTGGAGCTGTTGTCCCACGTGGATTCTCCAGTGTCGGGCAAGGTCAAGAGTATTTTCCTCAGAAGGTGTTAATGGGATCCCTCCCCTTTGCCCTCTCCCAGGCTCATGAAACCTGTGGTACCTCGGAGGCTTTGAGGCCTCAGACCCTCTTCTGATGGGAATCAGCAAGTTTTGTTTCTGATGGAAATCAACACCCTCTGTTTCCTTTGGAAACCAGGGTAAAAATCAATCCCACTCTGGCAGAGCTCCACTGGCAAGAGAATCACGGAATCACAGGCTGGTTTGGGTGGGAAGGGACATTAAAGCTCTTAAAGCTCCTCTCCTTCCAGCCCTGCCAAGGGCAGGAACACCTTCCACCAGCCCAGGGTGCTCCGAAACCCAGGAACTCCCCACAGCTCCACCCCAGCTCTCCAGAAGGCACAGCCTGACCTCGGCAACAGGCACCAGGAGGAGGATTCCAAACAGAGGGCTGGGACAGGGAAGGGTGGCAGGCAGTGGGGCAGCTCCCCATCCATGGACATGGACTTCTATCTAGTCCAGTGTGGTGCCAAGGATCCTCACACTTTAGGAACCTCGAGGGCTGCAGGGGGGACAGGGAGCCCCTTGTCCTTAAAAGCGCTTTCAGGAGGGCCACGATGGGCTCCCCAGGCACCAGGAGCACAGGGAGCTGCTGAAAACAGGCCCTGGCAACACAGAACAGCTTCTGTGACAGACAAAGCAGAGCCCACAGGGGCTCAGAAGGGGAATGTGGGGCTGCAGAGCACGAGGGGGGAAGAGAGGTGACAGGGACAGGCACTGGAGAGGCCGGATAGAGGAAGGGAAGTTTAAATAGCTGGTGTTTAGCTCCTGTAGGAGACGGTTTCTGAGCCTGCAGGGATGGGGAGGATGAGGAAAAGGCAACAACCCTGGAAATTTTGTGCATCTACAGGGGCAGCAGGGACCAAGTTCTGAAGGTCTGGAAATTCCTCTGAGCATAACCCTCTGAGGAAATCCCTCTGGGAATAGGGATGGCTATCTTCTGTAAGAGCTGACCCACCCCAAGATCCAGGGATTCACGGGCAGGACAAGCAGAGTGGGGCAAGTGAAGTGAATGTGGGCACCACTGCAGGGCCAAGGGCAGCTGAGCTGAGGCACAGAACAGGCACAGAGGGACAGAACAATCACGGAGCAACAAGCCCAGACAAGCAGCAGAAGGAAGATCCTGCCCAGGCCAAACAGGGAGAGGACAGGAGCAAACAGAGAAAGAACAAAGAGAGATCTGGCACGTGCCCAAATGTCATCCCATTAAGCCTGCGGCACAGTCAGGTGAGCCGGGAAACAGCCGGCACGGAATCCGAGTGGATACTGCGAGGAGGAGCCGGTTCCAGCCTCCCCCTGGCAGGGAGGGCAGGCAGGGCAGGCAGGGCTGGGGCAGCTGTCAACAGATGAGACCAGGTCCCTGCCACCAAACTCTGGGCACTGATAACTTGCCACCATGCTGGCACTGCCCTTGCAGGTGTGTCTGTGCACCCTGCTGGTGTGTCTTGTTCCCAAGGCCTGGATTGTCCCCTGGCACACAGGGACACGTGTGGACACACCTCTGGCACGGGCAGGATCCACACAGGTGCCCCTCACATGTGCTAGGGGTGTGTTAAATGATCACTCCCACGGAGCTGGGGTCTCTGACAACCTGCACCTTCCCCCATCCCACCCCTGTTGGGGGATCCCCCCCCCGCACCCCGAGGGATGGCAGCAGCAGCCAGAGCACACCTGGCTGATCCCAGACACCTGTACCTGTTGCTCTGAGCCACCCTCAGTCTCTGGGCTCTCTTCTCCAGCCAGTCCTCGATGGTGCCAGGTGGGATATCTGCTCCCTCCTGCCGCAGCTCCCTCAGCCTCTTCTCCCCTGATGAGAAAGGGAGACATCAGGGAGGGCTGGATCAGAGGGAGGGCCGTGAGGCCACCAGGCCCTGGTGCTGCAGTCCTTCCACTCCATTAAACCCGCTGCTCATTACCCTGCACAGTTTCCTGTGGTGAAGAGAGCGTGGAACAGTGGCAGCCCCTCCTCCTCCTCTGCCCTCCTGCCATCTGACGCTTGGAGTCATCCCTGGTGACAGCTCCAGCCAGGCAGAGCCAGGACAAGGGCTAAGCCAGCATGGTGGCACTGAGTGACATCTCCCCCCGGGGCAGATCATCCTCATCCTCACCTCAAACAGCCTGGGCTGGCCCTGAGCCTGGAGCTGCTCCCAGAGACGGGTCCCTCCACCTGGCAGGAGGGACTGTGCCACCTCTGCCCGATGAGGAGGGAGTGACAGGGCCGTGTGTCCGGGTTGGTGCAGCCCTGGCAGGCCAGGAGAGTCTGGGAGGTTCTGGGAGCAGTTACAGCCGGCCCAGGGATGTCAGAGCTGCTGTCAGGGCTGGTTATGGTGCCCACTGTGACACGTCCCCAGCCCGGAGCTGTCACCAGCACGGGGGCACAGCCAGGGCAGAGGGAGCCAGGGGACCAGCTCCTGCTTTTGGAATGATGTTGGTGGGAAGGGCTTTAAAGCCCATCCCATCCCATCCCACCCCCTGCCATGGGCAGGGACACCTTCCACCAGCCCAGGGAACCAAGCCCCGTCCAACCTGGCCTGGGACACTTCCAGGGATCCAGGGGCAGCCACAGCTTCTCTGGGCAAACCTGTGCCAGGGCCTCCCCACCCTCCCAGGAAACAATTCCTTACTGATATCTAACCTAAATTCCCCCCTCTCAGTCTGAACCCATTACTCCTTGTCTTATATTTCTCATGCAAGTTAGGAATGAGGAAGGAAACCAGTAGGAAACCTCTGCTGTCCAGTGAGGGCCCTTCCAACACTTCATCCCCTCCAGCAGCCTGGCGGGTGTGTGGGGCAGATACCTGCAGACAAACCTGTCCTGCAGACACTCTGTCCTCTCTGGGTAGGAGGGCACGGAGCCAGCAGGGCAGCCCAGTGCTCACCAGTCCCTCCCACTGGGCACAGCTCCACAGGTGCCCAGTTAGCAGAGCTGCCCAGTGTCCCCAGCAGCAGGGAGGGAGCTGGCAGAGAACAGGGTCTAGCAGGAGTCCTTGCCTCGGTGCTGCCAGCACGACAGGCGCAGCGGGACGAGGAGCCGCTCCCAGCGATCACATCTCCAGCCTGCTGGAAACTTCCCACCTAACGCAGCGATGAGGGAACGTGACCCTTGGAAAACCAACCACCGCTGACAGCACGAGGGAAGCAGAGGCAGCTGTGTGTCATTGCCCTCTGCCCTGCTCATCCAGCCCTGCAGGGGATCCCTGATCCCATTTAGGGATCAGCAGAGCCACCTGCAGCCGTGCCCCCCAGGAGCCCCCTCCGCCCCCACCCACCCCATGTCACACGTTTAAGGAAAATATTACACGTTTCCAGACAGGGTGTGAAATTAATACTGCTTGGGCAGAGTGAAGGATCACTTCATCCTCGTGCTGGCAACCAATTATTCATCTGCCTGTTGAATATTAATAAGGATGGCAGGAATGTGCTACACAATGAGCAGCCGGAGATGGATAATTTGTCATCCAGCCTTTTCATCTGGTGCTGCCGGGAGGGTGACGATGTACCCGGTGCCACCACAGGCAGCCCGCTGTGGGCCTGATGTCCAGGTGCTGCTCTGCAACCCGCTGATAAGGCTGCAGATGGGGCTGTTCCAGGCTCCTACAGCTGTTCCCCAGGATCAAGGCCCCTGCAGAACTACCTGGGGTCAGCACAGCCACCCGGCCAGGTGGGGAAGGGGCAGCCAGGAGGCTCAGTCTGCAGAGCTGGGCACTGCTCAGACTCAGGGCATGCAGGTCCAGCTCCCAGGTTAGACTTCCCTGGCAACCTCAACCACCTTATTTCCCTTTGTTCCAGGTGTCTCCATCTCCTGAGCACCTGGGCACATCCCACCCACCTTGGCAAGGGGACCAGCAGTGGCTGTGACGAGTCAGGGAAGAAAATCACAGAGAAACCTCTCCCAGTTCTTCCTACCACCAAGATTTCCTCTTCATCCAGCTCAAAGCCCAACACAGAACACACCATTACCAGATGAAGCCTCTCTGTTCAGAGCAGGGAGCCTTGAGCACCACACCAGGGACTGGTGGGAGTCCAGGGACCTGAGCAGCCCCAACTTCAGTCCCATCCAGAAAAGTTCCCTGCTTGCAGTGGGATCAGTTCAGGCTCACACCGGGCTAAATGAGGCCCCAGGTGTCCCCCTGAGAAAGATATCCCTGTTCTCACTACTGCCTGAGTTACTGCTCCAGAGCATCCCAACCCTCAGGCTCAGAAATGGGCGGCAGGGACAGGCAACTCTCCTGCCTTGATGACATCAGAAAGGTGATTCTTTCATCTCATCTTCCTCTGGAGCACACACATCCCATCCAGGGACCACCAAACCTCCCCTGAGTCTGGAAACACCCCCTGAATGCCAACAGGTATTCCAAGAAGTACCTGAAAGGCCTTTACCAGCCCTTCCTCTCCACCCGTGGCCAGGCTGCAGCGGGTGTGAAGGTGCTTGCACTCCTCCTCCTCACTGTGATGTTTGTTTCAAAGTCTAATTACAGCCAATTAACAGAGTGTCTGTAGCGGTGAAGCACCTCTGATGATGCCCGAGGGGGAACCCACATTATCTTCCCTGCCCATGCAACATTTACCAGGGCTTCTCTTCCTGAGTGAGGCATCTCTGTCCCAGAGATGGAACCCCCAGGACGAGTGGGTCACCCAGCAAAGGGATGCACAAGAAATCCTTCAGCTGCCTCCCTGGAAGGGGTGGTGATGTGGGACCCCAAACTCCTCCAGAGCACATGAACAGTGTCAAACCATGGCTGAGAGATGAATCCCCGTGCCAGGAGCAGCAGAACAAGCTGACTGTGAGCTCTCCTGCTCAGCATCCAGTTAAACCAGTTGGCTGCAGCCACCCCAGCAGGGTCCCTCGTGTCCTTCCAATCTCATGGATACACCACAGACACTCCCCCAGCTGTGCCCTCGCCCTCCCCTCGCAGCCCTGCCTGGCTGGAGCTCACCAGAGCCCGGGCTGGGTTGATCCCCCCTGCCATGGGGACACAGATTAGGGGGAGCCAATAACTCTGAGCAAGAGGATGGCAATTTGACAGTGACTTTTTCTGACATGACTGTACTTAAAATGACAGCCTGGAAGTGTCTGGCTGATGAATGATGCAGCAGATGCAGAAGGCTAATGCTTTGATGCAGGAACAGCTGGGAATATCTCTCCCTCCCTGCCGAAGGTGTAAACTGTTGCTTCTTGATGAGGCTATTCTACAGGGTGCAGACATGCTGAAGCCAAAGTAGGCCACGCTCCAAGCTCTTCTAGAACAGGGAATTGTCCAGACATATTCCTACCTAACCCACAAGACTTACACAAACAACAGGGTGAACTCCCTGCATTAAAAAGGCCAAATGTTAAGGACAATGTAATGTTTCCTTTGGCTGAGATAAAAATGCCTTGTTAGCCAGCTACCAACACCAAACGCTCAGCGGGGACTCAGGGGCAGGTTCAATATTTACATGACAAAAAGAGTGCCCTCACGGTTTAGCAGTGCTTAAAAAAGTCAGGCGAGGCTTTGCCTGCACCAGAGCTGAGGAAAGGGGGGTTAAGCAGCACTGTGGACCCACCAGGAGACTATCCCCTTTATCCCACCAGCCCGGTCACCTTCGGCACGGTCCCACCAGGCTCTGCACAAGGTGGGGAAACTCTGGAGCTTCCAGCCTCTCCGCTCGTCTCCAATCCCCACCCACCGCCGGCTCCAAGCCTGTCAGAACCTCCCAGCCGGGAAATCTCCGTGGTCACTGACAGGCTGCTCCAGCCCACGCTGTCCATCCCGCTGGCTGTGGCTCGTGGCACAGAACCCCCAGGGATGGCTGGGAATGCAAACGGGACGGTACTGATGGAGGACCGGGTCTCCTGTGTGTGTAACACAGCCTGCCACACACGAGCCTGCCTTCAGCCCAGCCCCTGAGACACGGATGCCTCACTGCAATGTCCCCCTGGCTCTACCTCCCCCCAGCCACGTCCTGCTGAGCCCTTCCCTCCACCAAACCCCTCCAGGCTCTCTGATCCCAGTGAGGGTCTGTGTGATGCTCCTCTCACACAGGATTCTCACAGAGCCACGCACACCAAAGGTGAGGACTCAACTCCCCAACCGGCACCCCCTCGGCCAGCGCTGCTTCAGGGCTAATTGGTGAATTAAGCGTTTCACTCCTAACACAAATACAAGGTTTCCAAGGAATCCCCCGGGCGCGGCTCTCAGCAGCCAGTGCTGCACTCCGAGCCGACCCGTTTGACTGCAGTCAACATTCAATAAGCAGGGTAATTGGCGAGGGAAGCTGCCCGAGCGCAGAGGAGCTGCCAGCCCTCCCCGGCAGCTCCGCTCCGCTCCAAGGAGCTCTCACTTCCCCCGCAGGAACAGCCGGCACTGACTGGAAACGCCACAGGTTCCTGACACCCTGTGCCACCCCCGGGGCCCGGCAGGGAGAGGTTTTGGGCTGGGCTGGAGGCTCTGCCCTCTGGGGAGGGCTGCAGCACTCGGTCCCCGCGGAGGTTTATTGACTTCCAGCACGGATCAGAGATCGATCCGGAGTCGCCCCGGGCAGGCACACACCCTGACTCAGCATGGAGAGCACGGGAACAGCTCCGCGGTGCCTTCCCCGGGCTCGGCCTCCCCCAGTCGGGTCCCTCAGGGGGCCGGGACAGGCTCTGCCCCGCACACCCCCAACATCCCGTATCCCACACACACACTTTCAACTTCAGCCGGGTTTTTCCAGACTATTGGCAGACCAAGAGCTGGCTCCAGGCAGCAGGGTGGGCACTGGGGCTGCTCCAAGCTGGGCTGCACTGGGAGCAGGTCGAGGAGGACTCTGAGGCCATGTCTGGGTGCTGTGCCCAGCGCTGGGCTCCCTGTACTGGATGTACTGGAAGGGAGCTCAACAAAGGCAAGAGACAATGGGCACAACCCAAAACACAGGAATTTCCGTAAGGAATTTCCATGTAAATATTTAAAAAAAGACACATTCTAATTGTGAACGTAGTCAAACACTGGCTCAGGTTGCCCCCAGGGGCTGCAGAGTTTGCAGCCTTGGAGATTCTCAAAACACAGCTGGAAGTGCTGCTGAGCACCCTGCTTGAGTTCACCCTGCTGGGAGCAAAGGCAGGTTGGGACCAGATGATCTCCACTGAGATCTCAACCACTCCACAGGTTCTCACCAACACCTCACTCACACTCCCTGGAAGTGTCCAGGGCCAGGTTGGACGGGGCTTGGAGCAGCCTGGGATAGTGGGAGGTGTCCCTGCCCATGGCAGGGGGTGGATGAGATGAGCTTTAATGTCCCTTCCTACCCAAATCATCCTGTGATTCTGTGATTTTCTCCAACCACTATGGAGAACACAGAGCTATCAGCCCTTTTAGGGAAAAGAGGTGGTAGTCCCAGAATGAGAAAGCTCAGAAGTTCTCTGGAGACTCCCAGCAGGGAGCAGGTGCCACCCACCCTCTGCCCACACCTCATTCCACCAAAGCCCCACGAGCAGAGGCCAGTCCTGGATCCAAGCCCCTCTGTCCTCTCCTCAGCACAGCCCCACAGCAGGCCAGCTCTTCCCACAGGTGGAAGCAGCAGCTCCCTGGTAATGACAGAGAGGAGGGGGGAAATCCAATCCATAAATTTAAGGGGAAGTGATGTACCAGTGCCCTCTGCTGCTGACAGTTTTTATTCCCCGACTGAGCAAAACCCCGTGGGCTCACAAAGCCCCACTCCAGGCTCCTGCTGCCAAGTAGTAACGGCACAGCCCAGTTCCAGGTTTGTGTCCGTGCCAGCAGCTCCAGAACAGGACAAACTGCAGCATTCCCAGCTCCAGGCTCTCCCAGCACCGGGAGGCAGGAGGGAGCACAGCCTGCACAACCCCCCCTGCAGCAACTGCCCCTCCAAGGAGACCCCTGGACATTTCCTCGCTGGAGGACTCACCTTGAACCTGAGCACTCAGCTTCTCCAGGTCCTGCTCTGTCATGTGGGAAAATCTGCAGTTGGACCCAAAATCACACTGTCCTGGAACCAATGGGGAGATTTGGAAATTCAGTTTCAATTTCAAAATCCACTAGGTTAGATATCAGGATAAAAATTTTTCATGGGAAGGGTTGTAAAGCATTGGAATGGAGGAGTCACCATCCCTGGAAGTGTTTAAAAACGGACTTGTGGATGTGGCACTTGAAGACATGGTTTAATGGTGAACAGGGTGGTACTGGGTTGATGGGTGGACTTGGTGATGTCAAAGCTCTTTTCCAAACTTGGAGAAGCCATGGAGCTCTGTAAGAGCAGCCCACAGGAGATCCTGCCTTGTGCAGCCCAACCCAAGCTCCACTTCCATCATCCCTCTGAGCTGCACGCTGGACACACAGGCCCAAGCCCCTTGGGCTGGCTCTCCACGGAGCTCCTGGAGCTCAGGGATTTATTTCCACCTCAGAACCCCTCACCTGTCTGCAGGAACTTCCGACAGGGTTTCTTGGTTTGCTCCTCCTGCAGGATGGCGGCGGCATCTGGGGAGACAGCGGGAGAGAGCAGGTACAGCCCCCGTGCCCAGCAACCCCCCACCCTGTCCCACACAGCCCAGGAGCCAGAGGGAAGCACAGGAACACACAGGACACGGTCTCACAGCCACCTGAACCCAAACTCAGTCCTTGCTGCAGCCAGAATGCACTGCCCTGCTCTCCTCTGAGACCCTGGATGCACATTCCCACCGCATCCCTCAGGTGGCACTGACAAGTGAGACAAGTCAGAGCCTGCCTCCGTTTTGCCTCTGAGACTGCTCGATGTGACAGCATCAGGGCACACAGAGTCAGCAGTGTGGATGAACCCCCGTTGCTGATTTATTCTCTATTCCCACTGCCCCACCTCCTCCATGCCCTCCCCAGTCCCAGGAAGGCAGTGGCAGCCAGCTGGGAGCACCCACCTCGGAATAAGTCGTACCAGGCTCTCTTAGCCCGGAGGTGCTGCACTCCATTGAGGTGTTTCTTCCTGTTGTGCAGGTTGTCCTGAAAGGACCTGTCACAGTAGTCACAGAAGTACCTTTTGCCCATGTCTGTCCTGGCAGAGCAGCCTCAGCACGGCCTGGGAACCATCAGGCAGCTCCTCGGCACCCAGCCATGGGAAGGGAGGATCCAGGATTTACAGCGCCTGCTTCCGAAGGAGGACAACTCCAATCACTCGGGGTTGGCAGACAGAGAGAGAGGTGAGACCCAACAGTTTATATCCTTGTCCATCACAGACTGCTGGGGCAGGATCTGCTGCCTGCACACGAGAGGAAGGGCTTGAATCAGCATTTATCTCTGTCACTCTGCTGGAAGAATTCTCCTTCCACACAAAACAGAGATCCAGAGAGACAAAGGCTCCAGGGAAGGTGCACCAGAAACCATCCAGGGTGCAAACAGGAGGAGCTGGAGGTCCTGGGGACCTTGAACCACAACCTCCACAAGCTGCCACGTAGGAGGAAGGAAATTCCCCCGTGTCCACCTCTGCAGGGAAAGGAAGGAACTCAGCAAAGACACTTGTTTTATCCTCAGAGATAAAACAAAAGCTGATGTCACCTGCCTTGCAAACACTACAGGCCATGACACTTCCTTCAGCCCACCCAGACACCCCTTTTCTCCTGTACACCATGGCCTGCTCCGCTTGCCCTCCCCAGCCTGTCTGCCCCCAGCACAGCATGGACATCACACCAGCCCTACAGCCAGGAAAAAACAACCCCAACTCCACAGCACTGAAAACAACCTGGACATTCCTGGTCCTTCTCCCCCAAGGAAGAGGAAAACATATCACACACGTAGCTTGGAGACTCTGATGAGGAGAACTGAGGAGAGACAGGACAGAATTTGGGAGCTCCCATCCATGCTGGGCCTGGAGCCGCTGGCTCCAGGTGAGATCAGCCTGTATTTTACCTCTGAGGCACCCATCCCACGGGATGTCCCTGCTGGAGGTGCCACAGACACCCTGAAGGAGCTGCAAGTGCCCTCCTGAGGGATGTGAAGGCACCTGATGAAAGCCAAAGATGGATGGACTGGGAGATAAACTCCAAAAGCAACTCTCCACATTTTGACACCTTGACAGTTGAATGCATTTAAAAAATGGCACGGAGAACAGCGCCAGAAATAAAGATTTCCTAAATAAAACAGGGCCAGAATCAATCACAGCCTCCCAGATGATTCCTCAGGCTCAGAAGGAAGAGCAGAGCTCCAGGCAATCCCTCGGAGCCTGGTGTGCCGAGCACAGGGGGGGCTGCCAAACATCCTGCCATCCATCCATCCATCCATCCATCCATCCATCCACCCACCCACCACGCTCCCTTCCCTCCCCTGCTCCCCAGAACTGCAGCTTCAAAGTCAAATTGCTGGAAATCTCTGAGGCCTCAGACACAGGTTAAGGCAAAGCCTCCCCAGCTGCATTTGATGGAATAATTTTCGGATTGTTTTGAATCAGCTTGAAAACCTCGACACTCAGAGGTTCCAATGGGACTGGAAACCAGCTGTGGCTGCCCCTGGATCCCTGGAAGTGTCCAAGGCCAGGTTGGAGGGGGCTTGGAGCAACTTGGGCTAGTGGGAGGTGTCTCTGCCCATGGCAGGGGGTGGGATGAGATGAGCTTTAGGGTCCCTTCCAAGCCAAACCATTCCAGGATTCTCCAGGTGAAATACCTTGTTGGAGGTGGTCAAACTCCTTGATCCACAAACCCCATCAGACCTGGCTCCTGCATGGAATTTGTAACAGCTCCACAGGGCTTGAGGTCTGACCCTGTCCTGCTGCAGCCCAAGAAACCAAACCCAAGTGCTGTTTAATGAACAGGGATCCATAAATTCCCTCATCCCTCACTAGATCATCCCAGAGTTTTCCAGCCAGCTTTGCTGCACTGTGGTGGGGCTGCTGGAATCCAAAAGGAACACGTCTGGCCCACTGGCAGGCTCTGCTTTTGAGTACCGAGAACTCCCCCTTTCACATCTCATCCCACAGTCTCCCAAAGTTCCTGGTGACATAAAAAGCTCCCTGTCTCAGCCCTGGCTCCTGCACTCCATCTCTGCAGAAGCAGAGATGCTGCAAACAGGGAAAACAAATGAGATTCTGCAGTGGTCCCACACAAGTTTGCAGAGCTCTCCCGGGGAATTGCGCCTGCGGAAGCCCAGCAGCAGCCAGCCTTTGAAATCAGGTTTCAAACTTTCCCTTTCATCACCCCGACAGCAATAATTGCAGAAGCTCCTTCCCCCTCCTTCCCCCCCCAAAAAAAAAACAAGGCAGAAAGCTCCTACAGATTCCAGGCAGATCCCACAGCTGCCTGCTCCGGAATTCTCCGAGCAATTCCCATTGCAGTGGACGAAGGAATGAGCAAAGCAATTAGAGGAGCATGGGATTCTCACCGAGACTGCCCCTCCAGTGATCACACCCAACGCTTGCTCCCATCTTTTTAAGGATTCCACGGCATGGATATCTCGCTGGATTCTGCCAACCCTCTGCAGCACCAGCGCTCGGCGAGTCCGGAGGAATCAAAGCTGCTTTCTGAGCAGCCCCAACCTATTTCCATCTCCCCAAACGGCTCCAGCAATAAACAAAGAGCATTATTCAGCTGCAAACAGAGATGGCTCCTAATTAAATCCATCTTGGCCACGATGAAATCAAGGAAACGTGGCTGCCCTGTAAAGAACAGCCCATCTCCTCCCAACATCTCCAAATCCTGATTTGCAACTGAATCGAGGAGCGGAGACTCCCCAGACCCTCCACAGCCACGGATGCTCCTGGATAGGCTCTGTGCCAGCCTGGAAGAGCTCCTGGAGAAATGCAAACACAAAAAACCCCCACGGGGGCTTTGTCTTGTAGAAAAATGTGACACAACTCCTCTGCTGTGCCTCCCAGCACTGAGGCACCTCCCAGGCGTGGCACAGCCAGTGAGGGGCCTGGGACCGCTCACACCGAGCTCTCCCGTGCACCATTCCACGTTTTCCCCGCTCCAGCTGCTGCCCAAGCACTCCACGTTGCTCTGTGCCAGCTACAGATTTTAGCTGGCACTCCTGGGGGGTGTTTCACGGGGCAGGGGGGGAAGGTGACCCTGAAATGGGCACACACAGACTGTCTGTGTCTGGGTGGAACCCCAAGAGCTGCTGCTGGGCCCTGACCTCAATTTCCTGCCTTCTCCCAGCCCAGGCCTGGGGCCATTCCAGCCACTTTGGATATCCAGGCAGATGTGAAGTTAATTAAATCCAAGTGTCAAGCTTATGACACTCAGCTGCCAATTTAAATGGGCTCAGATCTGCAGGGAGACTTGGGCTGCCAGAGTCTGCTGGCACCTTCCAGTGACAGGTCCTGCTTTCCATTTACCTGCTGTAAATCATGGAATCATGGAATGGTTTGGGCGGGAAGGGACCTTACAGATCATCCTGATCCACCCCCTGCCATGGGCAGGGACACCTCCCACTATCCCAGGCTGCTCCAAGCCCCGTCCAGCCTGGCCTTGGACACTTCCAGGGATCCAGGGGCAGCCACAGCTTCTCTGGGAATTCAATCCCAGCCCTTCCCCACCACACAGGAAGGAATTCCTTCCCAATATCCCATCTGACCCTGCCCTCTGGCAGTGGGAAGTTACTCCCCCTTGTCCTGCCATGGAATCATCATGGAATGAGTTGGGTTGGGGGGCACCTCAAAGCCCATCTTCCTCCACCCCCTTCCCACGGGCAGGGGCTCCTTCCACTGGAAATCCAGGGCTCGATTTGGGATTAACACCAGCCTGACCATACACAAACCTGCCTGGTGGCAGCAGTTCCTGGACTCTTGGGGACATTTGTCTTAGATAATCCTGAGCAGTTCAATTTGAAAAATAATAACTGAGCTTTTCCAACCTCTGCTCTGTGTGAGCAGGGACAGCCCCCAGGGAACGGCTGGAGCTGTGTCAGGGCAGGCTCAGGGTGGATCTCAGGGAAAGGTTCTTCCCCCAGAGGGTGGTTGGCACTGACCAGGCTCCCCAGGGCAGTGGGCACAGCCCCAAGGCTGTCAGAGCTGCAGGAGGGTTTGGACAACGCTCTGAGGGATTGTTGGGGTGTGTGGGCCAAGGGTTGGACTGATGATCCTGGTGGGTCCCTCCCAGCTCAGGATATGCTGTGATTCCAAAGGTATAACATCATACACAGGGCACAGGAATGTATCAGGCACATTCCAGGCTTCCAGCACGAGCAGAGGCTTTTCCCTAACCCAGAAAAAAATCCCACAGATCCCCACAGTCGCTGGATGAGAGAACCAAACATAAATAAATCAGGAGAAGTGACTCTGCAGCCAGACCTTGTGCTATTTCTGAGTGGGTGAGACAAACAAAACGACAGAGCAGAGTCACTTGAGGGTCTGCTCTGGAATTTCATGTAGATGCTCATTTAACAACAACCCTGCAGGGGAACAGCTTCAGTTTTAGGATTCCTGAGTCCCCAGTGTCTGTCCTGCTTTCCTAACCCCAAATTTGTCTCTCTGTCCCATCTGTGCTGGAGCCGCCCTGGGACCCCCCTGACCTTACTGAGGTTAAACAGAGAAAAACACGAGGAGAAGGTGGCAAAAGGGAACGTTCCCACTTCTGTTCTGCCACATGGGGCCATTTGACACTGTTCCCAAGGCCTCTGGAGCCTGAGGAGTCCCTGGCCCAGGCTGCCCAGAGCAGCTGTGGCTGCCCCTGGATCCCTAGAAGTGTCCAAGGCCAGGCTGGACGGGGCTTGGAGCAGCCTGGGACAGTGGCCATGGCAGGGGGTGGGAATGAGATGAGCCTTAAGGTCCCTTCCAACCCAAACCATCCCACGATTCCATGATTTAGGAGCTCCACGCCACTCTCCCTCTCACCCCACACTGTCATCGGCCACCCTCCACACCCCCAGATAACACCCAAACTGCCCCCCCACTCCGCCAGGGGTGAGCAGAGAGCAGCGACCGCAACCCCTTCGTGTCCTCGTTACCCCTGAGGGCAGGGCAGGGCAGGGCAGGGCGGGGGGGACTCAGCCCCCTCAGCCTCCTGGTCCCAGCCCGCTCTGGGTGCCCCCACAGCCGTGACCGGGCTGGTTTCACGGCACAAACCCGAACCTAAACCCTCGGGGTGCCTGGCGGGGCCGCTGAAGGGAAGCGGGGTGGGGCGGGGCCGAGCGGGACCCTCCTCACCGCGACTCCTCACGGAGCCCTTACAGGGATCCCTCACAATGACCCCTCACACAGAGTCCTCACATGGGCCCCTCAGAGGGACCCCCTCACAGAGCCCCCCCCGTCCCGCTCACGCACCTCCAGCGGGGCCCGCGCCGCGCCGCCTACAACTCCCACAATGCCCCGCGCGTTTCCCGACCACAACGCCCGGCACTCCCGGCACCGCCTACAACTCCCAGCATGCCCCGCGCGCACGGAGGGCACAGCGCGCCGCTCTCCCGGCACCGCCTACACCCCCCATCGGCCCCCGCGGCGCGGCGCAGGCGCGGTGCGCGCGGCCAAGATGGCGCTGCTGCGGCAGGTGTACGGGGCGCTGTTCCGCCGCACCTCCACCTTCGCGCTGTCCGTCGTGCTGGGCGCCGTCCTCTTCGAGCGCGCCTTCGACCAGGGCGCCGACGCGCTCTTCGAGCGCCTCAACGAGGGGGTAAGGCGCGGGGAGAGGCTGGGAGGGACCTCAGGGGCGCGGGCCCGCGCTGAAGGTCAGGGCGGCCCCGCTGGGCCACGCCCCGGGCAGGCCCCGGGCCGGTCCTGAACTGTCCCAGGCCGTTCCTAAACTGTTCCCGATGTGTCCCCGGGCCGGTCCTGAACTGTCCCGGGCCATTCCTAAACTGTTCCCGACGTGTCCCCGGGCCGGTCCTGAACTGTTCCCAGCGTGTCCCCGGGCCATCCCCGGTCCCGCAGTGTGGCTTCACGGCTCTCGTGGCGCTCGGTGGTCGCGGCTCCGGGCTGTTCTTAGGCTGCGGAGCCGCTGGAAGGGCCGTGGGAGGCGGTGGGAGCAGGAGGGCAAGGAAGAGCTGCTTCTGTGCTCTGTCTCCCCCCCGCCCCCGACTTGGCCGAGCGGCCCCTGGCACGGGGAGGGTGTGGGCGCTGCCGGGTCGTGCAGGGACACAGCGCCAGACTCCCGGGGTGAGCGGGATCAGGTCGTTCTCGTGTTCCCAAGCACGGCTGTGACGAGATGATGACTGCCCAGGGTCACGTGTAGGGGACAAACAGCGGCTTTCTGTTCACCTGGAGAAGAGAAGGCTCCAGGGAGACCTGAGAGCCCCTGGCAGGGCCTAAAGGGGCTCCAGGAGAGCTGGAGAGGGACTGGGGACAAGGGATGGAGGGACAGGACACAGGGAATGGCTTCCCACTGCCAGAGGCAGGGATAGATGGGAGATTGGGAAGGTGGTGAGGCCCTGGCCCAGGTTGCCCAGAGAAGCTGTGGCTGCCCCTGGATCCCTGGAAGTGTCCAAGGCCAGGGTTGAACAGGGCTTGGAGCAACCTGGGCTGGTGGAAGGTGTCCCTGCCCATGGCAGGGGGTGGAACTGGATTGGCTTTAAGATCCCTTCCAAACCATTCCAGGATTGTGTGACTGGGATTGTTCTGTTCCTGTATCTCCAGGAGCAGAACTGCCCTCTCTGGTCGGGGTGGGAATTCAAAGCAGGGTGACCTGGATACTCCAATCCAGAGAAGGAGGGAGGGGATTTTCTGCAGCTTCCTCCCTGTCCAGACTAAAAGCCAGGAGCTCCCTGTGTCCCTCAGATCCAGCCCAGGGCTCCCTCCCCACCTCCCCAGGCAGGGTGACTGTAAAATATAAACTATAAAATAGCATTTTAGAGTGAAATGTTATCCCAGCACCCCTGAAAAGCCTTTGCTTTGCCCCCAGAAACTGTGGAAGCACATCAAGCACAAGTATGAGAACTGAGCAGCTCAGCAGCAGCAGCAGGGAAGGATTTGGCCTCCTGACACTGGGAATGGATTCCTGATGGAACAACTCCGAGCCAGAGTGGATCAGCCACCCGCTGAGCTGGTGTGAGGCAGGATGGACTCCAGGGGTGCTGCTGTTCCCAACTCATGGTGTTCAAATAAAACTCTGGTCCATCTCTCGTGTGTGTGTGTGTGTTCCCCTCACCCATCCTTTGGCTTCCTTGGGCCTCCTCCTTCTCCAGAGGATGGAGGGTGGGTCAGTACAGCCCCACTCCTTAGTTCCAAGGCATTTTAAGGAATCACAGCCTCCTAAAAATGGTTGGAAAGGCTTGAAAGCACTTCCAGAGCTGTGGTTTAGTGACAACCCTTGGCCTGTGCCTGAGGAGAGCTTGGAGAGGGAGGAGCAGCTCTTGTCTTTCTTCTGGCCTGTTCACAGAAAAGGGGCTCAAAATCATTTACATCATCTTCTGTCGGTCCTGTGCAGGGCTGGGGGAGGTTCCTGGCCCCTCTCAGAGCTGTGGGTGCTGCTGCAGCCCTGCCCCAGCACTGCCCCTCGAGCTCTGGGCAGGCTGAGTGTGCCCAGCACCGCTGGGCTGAAAATGGGGGTGGTGTGTCCAAAACCTCCTCAGAAGGGATGTGGATCCCTCCCCTAATTATTTCTGTGCCTTCTGGCTCTTCAGATGGCTCGAGGGGCAGGAGTCACTGTAGGTTTGTGTGGTAGCACCAGCCTGCCCCCACCCTGGGATCCAAGGGGAGCTGCTGGGAAGGGAGAGGAATTGCTCAGTCCCCCCCAGCAGCTGGATCAGGGGAGTCATGGAATGGTTGGGAAAGGACCTTAAAGAGGATCCAGTTCCATGCCCCTGCCCTGGGCAGAGCCATTCCCTCCTCAGCAGCCTCACGAGGAGCCCAGCCCTGGCTCTTTCCAACATCTCTGTATTCCCAGGAAGGGATGTTTGGGTACTGTTTGGGCTAATGATCCAGTTAATCACAGCTCTCTGGGGAGATCTGGCTCAGTGATTCCTGCTCTTCCCCAGCCCAGCAGCCACATCTCTTCCCTCTTCATTTTCCCTAATCAGGAGGAATTTCAGCCAGTGCTGGGGGCAGCAGCTTTACTGCCTTTGCAGATGGGCACCAGGGGCGAAACATTTGCTCTAAAAACACAAGGAGGACTTAAAAAAAGTGGTGTTTTTAGAGCCAAACCCCAAGCCCAGCTGTGCCAGTCCCAGCTGTGCTCTGGGGAGACGTTCAAGGGGAAGGTTTCAGCGTTCCTGGGACAAGCCCAGCCTGTGCCAGCTGGCTCTGCAGTGCTGCTGCTCCACGCTGAGCAGCTCAGAGAGAGGTGCAGGAACCAAAGCTGAATGCAGGATGAGGGGGAGGCAGCACTGCAGTGGGCAGCAGGGAGGGACTGAGCCACCAGCCCAGGGAGCAGGAGCTGCAGGAGAGCAGAGTTACCCTAGCAGGGGATTGCCCTGGACACAGCATTTGGGGACAGTGGTGAATACAATTCCCTTTTTCCTCTGCTCATCATCAGGAGGTCTGAAAGAAAAATCTCCTCGGAGCACTCAGGACTTCATCTCATCTTGAGACAGTTCTGCTGCATTTCTACTGCTCTGCCAACAGCCCCAGTCACACCTCAGCCCCCTCTGAGTTAAACCAGGCACCAAGGTATGCCTACAGACCTTACTGCCACCTTACTGCCACCCTGCTCCTCCTGCAGCTCTGGGATTACCCTGGATCATCACCCACTGCTCGTTTTCTCAGCGTGGGGGGTGACAGCCACAGGCACCTTTGCAGCTCTAGAAAATACAAGGTGGGGGGGAGGTGCCACTCAGGGCAGATTAACCAAGTAAATTAACAAAGCAAAGGCTAACTGATTGCCAGGAAGTTCATCTCCATGATAGGGACAGAACTCCAAAACATCCTAATGCTCCATGACAACTGGGACAACTTTAGCACCAGCTGTGGGCAGGTGAGGCCGGGATGCCCAGGTAGAGTGGCAGCCACTGCTGTGGCATCTGAGCACCCCACAAACAGGTCACTTGGTAATTTCTGTGTCTCCCTGCCCAGGGAACAACTCCCTGACAAAATGCAGCCCTCGGGAGGAGCCTCTCAGCAAGTCCCTCTCAGCTCCCAGCCTTCCCACAGCAGAGGGTGGTTGGGGCAGTTCTGCCTCACGGGGTGGGGACAGGGGAGCTCCAGGGGACTCTGACCTGCTGCCTTCAGCCTGGATTGCCACACCACTGGCATCTTACTTGGCATGCCTGGATCCTCATTTTCCAGCATGTTTAGTCTCAGTGGGTAAATCTCATTACCCTGAACCAACACCGACCAGGGAGAGAATTTCCCCCCACCTGCAGATCCAGCACTGAGAGGCCTGTGGAGGTTCCTCTGAGTTACAGATCAATCCTGTCTGTGAGAGCCTGAAACACCAACTGAAACACCTCCATCATTTATTTGCCATGGTCTGTTTTCACAGGCCTCACTCAAGGGACAGAAATCCATGGCAAGGTCTTACCTCGACTCCTGGGGGTCTGTCAGCAGTGGGAACAGCCAGAGCAGTTCCCTGCCAGCATGGAGCTGTGCCAGGGCAGGCTCAGGGTGGATCTCAGGGCAAGGTTCTTCCCCCAGAGGGTGGTTGGCACTGACCAGGCTCCCCAGGGCAGTGGGCACAGCCCCAAGGCTGCCAGAGCTGCAGGAGGGTTTGGATGATCCTCTGGGGCACAGGGGGGGACTCTTGGGGATGGGGCTGTGCAGGGCCAGGGGTTGGACTGGATGGTCCTTGTGGGTCCCTTCCTTGGGATATTCTATGATTCCAGTTCAGGATAAGGCATTTCAGTGGGGGCTGTCCCAGAGTCCCAGGCAGGCCATGGAGCCCCTGGGAATGGTAGGGAAGGTGCAGGGATCAGTACGAAAATAAAACTCTGCGGATTATAAATGGTACAAAAGGGAAGGAGGGGCTGGTGCAGCCTGTCCTGTGTATTGGGTGCAGCCACCAGCACACACGAGTGAAGACACTCAGGGCCTGCTCCTTCCCAGGAAAGGCAGAGCTCCCACAGGGAACGCCGTTCCACGCGAGCTGAAGTGCCAGGTGCTGAACCACGACATCCAGCCCCCTGAGCGCAGGGAATGCCGAGCAGGAGGCTGGGGATGGTGCCAGGAGTCCCTCAGGAAGGGATCATGCCTTTGCTCCGCTTCCTGTCGGCCATGGCCCGCCGGTTGTGGTTGGCCCTGGTGCTCTTGTTGGCCTCCTTCTTCCTGCGCTCCTGCACCGTCTCCCGGTTCTGCCCGTGGCCCTTGGCATTCCCAACAACGGCAGAGCTGTCGTGCTTGTACCTGCAGGACACACAGAAGGACATCACAGTGAGCCCACAGCACAGCTGGGGACAGAATCCCACACCCCCAAAACACCCAGGGGGTGAGGAGTTCAGCCCTCGGGGCCTTGGCTCATCCCAGCGATCCACAGGAGTCCAGGATCAGCATCAGCCACACAACAACTGTGCCCTTCGACACACTGAGCCCATCAGCTGCAAACAGCCCTTAAACTGCCCCAAAACCCCTGCAGGAGCTGTTGGAGCTCTGGGAGCTCTGCTCTCCACGATCCTGCCTAGCAAAGGGTTCTGCTGCTTGTGATAAAGGGCCTGCAATGACAGGACACAGGGAATGGCTTCCCAGTGCCAGAGGGCAGGGACAGATGGGATATTGGGAAGGAATTGCTGGCTGTGAGGGTGGGCAGGGCCTGGCCCAGGTTGCCCAGAGAAGCTGTGGCTGCCCCTGGATCCCTGGAAGTGTCCAAGGCCAGGCTGGAAAGGGCACAGAGCAACGAGGTGAGCTTTAAGGCTCCTTCCCACCCAAACCATTCCACAGCTCCATGACAAGCCAACCCATTCAACGGGATAGAACAACCAGCAGTGAAGCAGAAGGTGGGTGGGGAAATTCACACCACGGTGGTGGTGACCCTGATGTAGAGGAATGTCGGGAGCAGGAACACCCTCAGCCATTGCAGTCAGCAGCAAAGCACCTGCCAACTGCAGGGCCAGGGATTCATTCCCCCCAGAGCCTGATCCTCGCTCACCCCTTCCTGGCCAGGAACGCCTGGCGCCTGGCCTCGGCCCTCTCCCGCAGCACAGCCGGGTCCTGCACAAAGTGGTCCTGCAAAGAAGGGAGGGAAGAGGTCAGGAAACTCAGCAACCCCTGCAAAATCCCAGAGCAGGAGGGGATTCTGCTGGGAACAGTTAATGCTGGTCCGTTATCCCTGCGGGAATCGTGTCGAGGACTCTGAACAAGGCCTGGCACATGAGGCCCCTCCCCACACCCACGTCACAGAGCCCCAGGGACCCTCGGGGGGCTCTGCTGGCACTGCCTGCCCGTGGGACAGAGCAGGTTAAAGCTCTCCACGGAGCAAATGTCACTGCCCAGCCTGGTTGTCCCGGGAAGCAGCTGAGCTGTCCAGGGGGACGTGTCACAGCCCAGCAGCTCCTCCTACTCCTTTCAGCTGGAAGAGTCACTCCAAAATCTGCTCCCCATCGCCCTGCAGGGAAGAAATAGGGTAAGTCAGGGTCACCTTTGTTCTTTCCTTTTCAGCTTCCTCCTCCTCCTCCTCTTCATCCTCTTCCTCCTCCTCCTGTCCCTCCTCCTGTCCCTTAGGTCTCAAGACCTGAGGAATTGTGAATGGCCTGAGAACAAACACAGAAACAGTCAGCAACGAACACACTGCAGCCACCAGCACTTCCCTGAGCCTTCCTGGTTTGCATCACACCTTTAAATAATGAAATTCTACAAATTTCATGGACTTCTTCTGAAGAAAAGAAAAGAAAAAGGAAGGAAACTCAGGAGCTAATGACACATTGCTAAGGGTAATTAATGAACACATTCTTCACCGGGGAATGTTCACTATGAAGGTGTCACTCAAAATAATAATAGTTAAAAAAAAAAAAAAAAAAAGAAAAAGGAACAGGTCAGGGAAAACCTCAAAGCTCACAAGGAATTTCTCCAAGCAAACAACTGCTTCCTTTGGGAAAGGGGGCTTTAGTAAGGAATATCCTTTGTTAAGCTTTATCTCCCCAGTCAGGAGCCCCCAAACCCAGACAGAAACATTAATGCTCAGCAAGTGTTGTGCTCCAAACCCTCTATGAGTGGTCAGGGGTTATCCATGGAGCCCAAATTTCATTCCTGTGCCCCTGTTT